GAGTAGCCTGAAAGGGTCTCATGACGCTGGGCTTGCAGGAAGCCAAGGATTTGGCTTGCTGGGATGGAAGCCATTCTCGATTTGATGGAAAGGCGGACTTCTAGAGGCTGTGCCCCTTCTCATTTGCTGACTTTCTTCATTCTCTTTTCCTCTTGATCTCCATTCATCTTTGTGCTTCTCTCTCAGGTTCACTGAGATGTTTGCCCATTACCCTGTTTTATGGATTGTGCTTTTGGTATCACAGGTAAAACTTTCCATGAAACCCAAGGTCATGTAGATTTTCTCTGATGTTTTCTTCTAGGCATTTTATAGTTTTGCATTTTACGTGTAGATCTATGATCCCTTTTTGAGTTAATTTTCGTGTAAGCTTAAGATTTTTGTCTAGGTTATTTTGGGGATGGGGGAACATATAAACATCCAATTGTTCTAGCATCATTTACCCATAAAAAGGATAGCCAAAAATGCTATCCTTCATCTATTTAATTGCTTTGTGCTTTTGTCAAAATATATTTGAGGGTTGACATTTTGAATTTCTTTTCCGCTCTATGGATCTGCATGTCTACTCTTAACCCAGCCCCACACCGTCCTGGTTACTGTCCTTTTATGTTCAGTTCAGCTCAGGTAGGACAATGGCCTTCTCACCCTGGTCACTCTCCTGTATTTGCCTATCTCCCTGTTTACGGGTTTATGTGGAACATTTTTCCCCTCTCCTTCATGTAAAATAAGGCTTGTAAAATTTTCAGTAAAACTAAATAAAATAATATTTTAAATCTTTTTAAACGGTTGTGTGGAGGTGTGATGTTCACACCCCAAAGCTCACTCGTTTGTGTTACACTTAAAGTAGTTTTGGGTGTGGAAAGTGTTGCTTTCCTCTGACATCTGTGCCCATGTATTCCGCCTCTCTCCCATTGCAATGGATTCCATGTGTGTGTTCCTGGGCAATGCCAACCCTCCACCTGGTCTTTTTGTTTAGTTGAATTATGTCTGCCTTTGTCTCAGAAAACACTAGTACACTTTTCTCATCTATGAATAGATACTGTGAGTGTTAATTTTATGTGTCAAATTGACTGGGCAAGGTATGCTCAAACAGTTGGTAAAACAGTATTTCTGGGAATGTCTGTGGGAGTGTTTCCAGAAGAGGTCAGAGTTTTCACGAGTGGACTGAGGAAGATTCACGTTCGCCAGCGTGGGCGGGTATCACCCGATCTGCTGAGGCCCAAAGAGGACAAAAAGGTGGAGGAAAGGCGAATTCTCTCGTCTCGATCTGGGACTGTCATCTCCTGCCCTTAGATCTCGGACTCCTGTGGTTCTCAAGGTTTCAGACTCCAGGACTCATACACCCGCCCCACCCCCATTTCCTTCACCCTCCATTTCTCAGGCCTTCACACTTGGTATGAGTGACATCACCAGCTTTCCTGGATCTCCAGCTTGCAGAGAGTAGATTGTGGGAATTGTGGGACCTCTCGGCTTCCATCACTGCATAAGCCAGTTCTCATAATACATCTCTTCTTAGGCATCTGTCTGTCCATCTGTCTGTCTACATTTTATTGTTTCTGTGTCTCTGGGGAACCTCAATACTGCTACTAACAAGGTAGGTTTTATGTAAAAAAAAAAAATATATATATATATATATATAAGGCAGAACAGCTAAAGTAGGATAAATCTTAATCTAACGATGTTTTAATAATAGAAGAAATCAACTTGATTCTGGTATTTAGAACAGTTTTTGTTTTTGTTTAAGACAGAGCCTCACTCTGTTGCATAGGCTGGAGTGCAGAGATGTGATCACAGCTCACTGCAGCGTCAACTCCTGGTCTCAAGTGACCCTCCCACCTCAGCCTTCCAAGTAGCTGGGACTTCAGGTGTGTGCCACCGTGTCCAGCTAATTTTTTTTTTAACTTTTACTTTTTTGTAGAGGCAGAGTCTCACTATGTTGCCCAGGCTGGACCCATACTCCTGGCCTCAAGCAATCCTCCAACCTTGACCTCCCAAAGTTCTAGAATTACAGGCCTGAGCCACCCTCCCAGCCTAGAACAGTGTTTTTAATGAGCAACTCCAAGGCTAAAAAGAGAGTTGCCTTTCACACATAATTTCTGGGATCACAATGTTCCAATTCAGTCTGTAACCAAATTTATACTATTCAGAAAATCTAAACAATTCAGAACCAGTGGGTTTGAATTATATTTGAAATATCACCTTGTAACTTCCAGTCAATAAAATCTTTAAAAGAAAATTAATCTCCTAAAAAAAGAGGTTAAAAATAAACTCATTGGAAAATGTTAAAGAAGTACTTCCATAAAACATGGGATACAAATTTCTGACAGGCTATTTGTGATAATGGTAATTTGCTGCCCCTAGGAACTGCTTATTAATGGAAATATTTCTGCTGAGATATCTGCAATGCAGCTTTGATGTCTTGTTAAACTATCAAAAATACAAGATGCAAATGCTATATTCCCAAAGCAACTTAAAATTTTACAATACATACCCATGGCATTTTAAATATTTTGTTATAAGAATGAATTACCTGTGCTCTCAATTAAAAAATGTGTACTTTTAAATGATTTTATACTTTTAGAGATCATCAATTCTTTTTAAGTAATAGAATAGTTTCCCTATGAGAAATGCAAACATTTTTGGAAAATGGGTCAAGGCACTTTGCATTTTTGGCATCCTGGGACTCTTTAGGAAAAAGAATATGTTCTGAAACGTTGGTACAGTGCCATTCCAGATACACAGTTAAACTTGATAACTCACATCAAATTTCATAAGAAATGAGGGCTGTGCATGGTGGCTCATGCCTGTAATCCCAGCACTTTGGGAGTCCAAGGCGGGTGGATCATTTGAGGTCAGAAGTTGGAGACCAGCCTGGCCAACATGGTAAAATGCTGTTTCTACTAAAAATACAAACATTAGCCGGGTGTGGTGAAGCACACCTGTAATCCCAACTACTTGGGAGGCTGAGGAAAGATAATCACTTGAATCTGGGAGATGGAGGTTGCAGTGAGCAGAGACGGTGCCACTGCACTCCAGCTGGGGCAAAAGAGACTTGTAAAAGAAAAGAAAAGAGAAAAGAAATGAGGTTAGGTGTCTAAACCCAGGGAATATTAGCACCCAAGAAGTTGGATTCTAATGACAAGAAGCTGTATTCTTCTAGCCAGAAGGTGACCCAGAGGAAGTGATCAAACACAGCTAAAAGTGGGATGCAAACGAACCCTCCTGTGTATCATTTGTAATTATACAACCACTTTATGATTTCCTCATTGGCCAGCATGAGGAAGCTGGATGAAATGACCAGTGTTTTCTCCTCACTCCACATGCCTGTGACTGTCTCTTTAATACCCCCTGGAGCCTGTAAACTGTGTTCACCTACATTGCTGGAGAAGCAGAAGGCACAGCAGAGGGGTATATCAATTGGCTTTGATATCAGATGCGAGTTCAAATCCCTGTTCTAAGGTGTACCAGCTGAGAGACATTAGGGAAGGTTTTGAAGCCTTAGATCCCTACAGATTAGGGAGCTGATATTTGCAAAGTGACTAGCACCCAATAAGCCAGGGGAGGCAGTACCAATTGTCAAAGGGATATTTCTTTTTTTTTTCAAGACGGAGTCTTGCTCTGTCTCCCAGGCTGGAATGCAGTGGCATGATCTCGACTCACCACAACCTCCAACTCCCTGGTTCAAGCGATTCTCCTGCCTCAGCCTCCCAAGTAGCTGAGATTACAGGCACATGCCACCATGCCCAGATAATTTTTGTATTATTAGTAGAGATGGGGTTTCACCATGTTGGCCAGGATGGTCTCAATCTCCTGACCTTGTGATCCGCCCACCTCAGCCTCCCAGAGTGCTGGGGTTACAGGCGTGAGCCACCGCACCTGACCCAAAGGGATAATTCTCGTTCCTTAATCACTGTTTTCCAAAATACAAAGTGAGGCTGACGATCAATGACCATTTCATAAATTAATAACAGAGTCAGGCCCATAACTCAGGCCTTGTGACTCAGCTGTTCTTTCAACTTACCATTTATTAACCAAGGAACTGACCAATTCACTGATAGGTTTGATCAAATTTTGTGTGCACACGCACAGACGCACACAGCACCAGTTTAAATCCATTTCAAATTAGTTATGTTTATACAGAAGGGCAGAGTTCAGTTAACGAGATCCCATCAGTGAAGATGCTGTAGCCAGACAGAGGAATTTTGAGGGAGATGAGGATTCAAAGATCCAATGAGTTCCTGGTCCAGGATGACCTGCAGATCTGGACTCAGTTCCTGTCTAGCAGTTAGGCTGCTGTGATTAAAAGGAAGAGCCAAGAGGAAGGAGCTGGGGAAACCTGGGGCTGGCTGCCTCGGCTGAGCGCGTGTTCAGTGCTCTCCACCCACCTTTTCTACAAGGGAAGATGGAAGCAGATGCCGCACAGGCCTGCAGGCTGAGAGTGGTAGATACTGGGTGGGGGCCGGTACCATGGTGTGCATAAAAAATGCATCAGATCTGGACTTAGACAACTGGAGCTGGTGTTTTTCTTCTGTCACTAGCTGGTGGCCTTGGGGAAGGCAGAAGTCTCGAATTCCTAAATCTTCAGTTTTCTCAAAAATAAAGAAAAAAATAATGTCAACGTTTTCGAGGACAGCTATAAAATCAAATGTGCTATTGTTAAAAACGTTCCACCTTTTCTGCATCTTAGTCTCCTTATCTCTAAACTAGGGAAAGCAACAGTATTCTCTGTAGGGTTATTAGAATTTAATGAGTTCATCCATGTGAAATGCTGATAGAAGTGTCTGGCTTGGAGGGAGCACTCCAGTCAGTAGGCAGCTGGTTACATAATACGGAAGTGTCACCAGGCCATTTCAACCCACTGTCCACTGCTATTGCTGCACTTACTGGCTTTTGGCTTTGGTGACTGACTTGTCATTATGAAGGGAAAAGGGCTCCTGTTTTGCCTATTTTCTTTTTTTTTCCTTATAAGACCACAATAATTAAAAAAAACTCTACAGCAGTAATAATTTTTAAAATATACATATATTACTTATATATTAACATTTATTAAGCATTAATACTGTTTAATAATAGAGTATGAAGAAAAATACATACAGTGGTATTTAGGATTCTAATCTTACATGGATACTGACAAGAGACATAGGAAACGGCAAATATATCAAAGCCAGATGACAACACGACTGTAAATAAGATTAATATACTCAACACTATGTACACACTTTAGGGTAGTGATCTAATCCATGCACAGTAACCGGGTGCGTGATGCCCATCGATTCCTAGCCTGATACTGAACATTGTTTCAAAATAATTCGTGGGAACAAAGATGTCTGATATTAATAAAACAAGACTCTTTTTCTCTATAAATACAATTCACATGACTGTAATTTTAAGTTTTACTTTTCTAAAACAGAAACCCTTGAAGAAAACATGATGATGATGATGATGATGATGATGATGATGATGATGATACAGCTAAAATGAAAATGTGTCTTGGAAAAATGTGAGAATTGGCTCATCCCTCACTGGCAAGAGAAGTAACGGTAAGTGTCACATGGAGAGTGGGTGGCATCGGGAGCCACAACTGCCTGGCTCTGGAGCCAGACCCTGGCTCTGCCACTCAGTGGCTGTGACTTTGGGAAATTCCTTATCATCTGTCTCTAACTTTCTCATTTGTGAATTAAGGATAATAACTATCTTATGAAGTTATCATGAAGAGCAAATTAGGTCTAGAACACTGTCAGATACACGGTGTGTTCAAACACAGTAAGCCGTTTTATTATAACAAACACATACAATACTTTAAGTATTCAAAATGAATACAGGATAAAGAATACTGACGAAATAAATATTCAACACAAAATGTTGAATTTGGGGGGTCAGTTAAATATAAATCATCCCCAGCCCATTAATACTGATAGAGACACAACTCAACATAACGATGCCATCTATTAAAATCTCTTTCATTAAACCTAAGCAAGACACCATCAACTACAGGAGTTTTAGGAACGATTAAGAAAAAACAATGTTGCCATAGATTTAACTGACTCCAAGACATACTCTAATTTCTGACAAGTTAGAAGAACATGTGCATCTCAGAACCGAAGACGTTCTGATATGAGCAAACTGGAAAGTGGTCAACAGAGTCAGACTGCAGGAGAGTGTGTCTAAGAACAAATATGCAGACACAACATCTAGCTTTCCCTCTGGCTTCTGAGGTGGAAGGTGTGTTTCTGGGACATGAGTGCTCACTTCAGGAGGGTTTAGCCTCTCATTACCTGCCAGTCCCTGCTTATACCACAGAGGGTGTGGGCTGGCGTGGGAGCCCCCAGGATCACATCCTGACACATCTGCAAGAACAGGGAGAAGTACCCAAGAGTTCCTGTTGCCACTGTTCTGGGAGGGAGAGGAGAACCTAAAGAACCGACAGCAATCCAATGTTTATATTACAGATACTTATAAGCAAATCTTGAAAATTGAGCAGATTCTGGGTGGGTCTAATGGTCTGAGAGTCGCATGAATAAAAAGAATTCCAGAAAAGCTGTGAAACTTCACCTTTCCCCTCTTCTTAACCTTACCTGCCTTTGGGAGGCTGAGGCAGGAGGATGACTTAAGGCCAGGAGTTCGAGAATGTAGTGAGCTATGATTACACCACTCGCACTCCAGCCCAGGCAAGACCAAAACAAACACCTTGCCTGCAAACTGCTCCACACTGGAAATTCATTTGCCCTCTTGGACTATGGAAAGAACTGGCTTACTGTAAACCACCCTTCTCTAAAACCCTTCTTCCAGTTAGATGTTAAGATTCTAACAGCCTTTCCTACCTGAATAATACCTGCACACAAAGTAAACATGAGATGTTGACAGCTCATCTGTTTGATACAAGATGAATCTCCATGCTTAATCAGCTGTGGATAATCCTCATCAGCATCTAGTGGCAAAGACTCCTGCTTGCTCACCAAAACACTCCCCTTCCTCCACTGCACACAGTTACATGAATTTCCCAGGCACCCTTGCAGCTCAGCAGGAGTCCATGACTTAAGAAGGCCAATGGACTATGGGTGAAAGCGCCACATGCATCACTTCTAGGCCTGGGTGCATGCGTCCTCCACTCTCTTCTCCCGTGGGTGCAGAAGGTGGGGCAGAGGGCCCTAGGCCCCTCAGTCTTCATGTGAATTTAGGTAACACTGAACTGTCATGTGAACAATAAATAAATGTCAAATGCATTCAGTCGATTAGATTTGGTGATGGTTGTTACAGCAGTTACCCTCCCTCAACATAAATTTTCCAACAACACATAATGGATCACTCATATATAAAATACTCAATATGGAATCGCAGGATAAAGTGTTTATTCTAGCTCAAGCTTAATCAGAGTAGTCTATCTGAGGAAGGAGATAGCAGAGGGCAGTGAGGGGTGGTCAGTGAAGATAACTAGCCTTGCTAAAAGAACGGTTGAAGAACTGAGCTGTAGATAGGGTAAACCGACATCGCAGATATTCTGTGATGGTCCTGATATTACCCGAAAGTAAAATGTGGAGTTGAACCATTTTAATTAGATTCTAGAATTCTATTAATTTATGAAATGGGCATCTCCACAAAGGACTAAACAAAGTACGAGAGGATTAAAAATACATCCATGTGGGAGCACAGCTTCACACTCCAAGATGATGGAGCTTATCAAGACCGGCTGTGGATGTCTATCCCTGGGTTTCCCCCATTTTTTCCCTTTTTATGAGACAGGCTCTCACTATGTTGCCCAGGTTGGTCTTGAACTCCTGGGCTCAAGTGATCCCCCTGCCTCAGCTTCCCCAAGTAGCTGGGATTATAAGTGCACGCCACCATGCCTGGCTTCACTCCCTGAGAGTTTGCAACAGAGTATGTTATTATGGTTGAAAGATTTCCAAAATCACAAACAGAAAAGCTTACAGGGGCCAGGCGGGTAACAGGGTGGGTAGAAAGTGAGAGCAAATGTGGAGCCTGTAAGGAACTGTGGCGCAGCAGCACAATGTTGAGGGATTTACATTCAGTATTTTGTTTTAATTATTTATTTGCTTTTGAGACAGTGTCTTGCTCTGTCACCCAGGCTAGAGTGCAGTGGTGCGATCTGAGCTCACTGCAACCTCCGTCCCCCAGGTTAAAGTGATTCTCCTGCCTCAGCCCCGAGTAGCTGGGACCACAGGTGACCCCCACCACACCCAGCTAATTTTTGTCTTTTAGTAGAGACAGGGTTTTACCATGTTGGCTAGTTTGGTCTCGAACTCCTGACTTCAGATGATCAGCCCACCTCAGACTCCCAAAGTGCTGGGATTACAGGAGTGAGTCACCACGCCTGGCCTAAAGTCAGTGTTTTGAAGGCACTGTGTAGGATTTGCGGGCAGACTCTCTCAGAATGGTTATTCATTCACTTAACAAGTTTTATTCATCTATTTATTTATTTATTTATTTGAGATAGGACCTAACACTGTAACCCAGGCCGGAGTGCAGTGGTGCGATCACCACTCACTGCATCCTCAATCTCCCAGGCTCAGGCAATCCTCCTACCTCAGCCTCCCAAGTAGCTGGAACTACAGGTGCACACCAGCATTCCTGGCTAATTTTTTTATTTTTATTTTTATAGAACTGGAATCCCACCATGTTGCCTAGGTTGGCAGTGAACTCCTGGCCTCAAGCCAGCTTCCCACCTTGGCCCCCTCAGGTGCTGGGATTATAGGCATGAGCCACAGCACCTGGCCAACAAGTATTTATTGAATGTCCACTGGCTTCTGAAATCTAGTATTTGATCTAAAAGATGTCTTGAGGTTCCTTCCCAATCTACTGCTCTGAGGAATGTTTTACAGTAAAACAGGATGATAACCTAAAAAAGGAAAATACATGATAACGTAAAAAAACTTAAAACACAAAACAACTGAAAGGAACTCAGGTAAAAGACAGAAGGAGAAAAATACAAATAACTCAAAATATAAATTAACTTCTTTGAAAATAAAAATAGTTTAATTTGCATCAAGTTTAACAACATGCAGTCTATAAATTCTTATAAACACAGCTTTAAAAAGTTAGAGTATCAGGAACTATGATAAATTTGAAAATAGCAATCTAACTTCTTATTAGACACCTGACCAAGAGGACACTATGAGATTCGGAGTGTCAGGTTATATAGAGCTCATTCACATGCTTCTTGCTATACTAAATATATACTAAATGGCTTTTACTTAAAATTTCATAAAAGGAACATTCCACTAAAACCAATTTAAATTCTACAACTACTAAGAACAAATCACACTAGTAGAGGTGAGCAAATCTGTCTTCTCCAGTCGACTGGGCAGCAGGATTACTGAGTGGCAGGTAGGCCGAGTCTTCTTCACCCCTTATTATTTGGTGAGGAAGTCAACTGTGAGAAGTGACTCGAACTGTCAGAAGAAATGAGAAAAGTGCTTGGGTCTGTGGGCAGGGGCTGGATCTATAGCCCTTGTTGCCTTGAAAGACAATGAGGTAAATATGTACGAAATGTTAAAATTAGAAAATGACCACGGATAATCAAGAGGGTCTTACTACTTCAAAAGCTTCTTAATTTGAATAATATGGAGCATGTCATTCTACAGTTTCTAAAAGGAAAGCTTCATTTATTCAAGTTCTAAAAATTCAGTTTGATATATTATTCCATGTTCTGTTAAATCTCAGAAAAACTAAGAAAGGGTTCCTGGCACATATCACTAGTGTAAAAATCCCATTTCACCCAAGAAAATGGACTTACGTGCAATCTTGGTAAAAAGATGACCGCTGCTGCTGCTCCGTGGGCAGATTCAGAGTATCCGTGTGCTTTCCAACAGGAACACTTGTCTTTATTTTCTATATGCAATTCATGCTATTGCTCATTTAGGTTGGTCTTTCACTCCAGATAGGTTTTTATGATTTTTAAAGGGTCATCCTATGAATAGTTTGGAAATAATTGCTCCTAATTCTTGACTGACCCTTTTATTCTTACACATTCTTTATTTTTCAAAATGCCTCATTGTACTGGGAATTCAGATTCTGCCCATTCCACAGCTAGCCAGGCCCCACTCAAAGAGGGTTTCTGCTCTGAGTTCCAGAAAGTCCTTGTCATGAAACATTCCACCCACAGCATGTGTGCATGGCACACACCAGACTCTGATGCGAGTGTAAGCCAAGGCTGTGAGTGGGCTAGTCATCTTACTTAAAAGGCTCTGACCAGGTAGGCGACAGTATTTGATTTCTAGTAATCATGTTAGATGTTTCTTAACTCTGTTAAAGTGGCAAGGATAAAAATTCTCTAATTGGCAAGAACTGGACAACTGGGATGACAGGGATGCATTCTGAGAAATGTGCTGTTGGACGATTTTGTCATGGTTACATCGCAGGATGCATCTAGGTAGCATCCTACCTAGACGGTAGCACCAACTACACACCTAGGCTGTGTGGCATGACCTCCTAGCTACAAGCCTGTACAGCATGGTACTGCATACTGCAGGCAACTGTCACCATGCTATCTGTGTGTCTAAACATAGAAAAGGTATAGTAAAAATACAGTATTAGAATCTTATGTGCCCACTGTCACAGGTATGGTCCATTGTTGACCAAAATGTCCCAACGTGGCATATGACTGTAGCTGACTTTGAAAACTAATTGTTTACATACCTTAGTTTAATCTGGATCCTCTGAAGAGCTATCTATCTCAAGGCCAGCATTTTCTTCCTAGGCATGAAAGGGTTTAAAATTATGTAAGATTGTAAATTCTCTTTCTGTTTAATCAGTCTCAACCAGGGATTCTCAACCTTTGTGATAAGCCATTAAAAAAACTATCCAGTGCTGGCTCTTATCTATACGCTTCTATTTTTCAATTCAGTTGCATAATTACAGCCTATGCTTAAAATTCTGAGGTAGGGAAGGGTAGGGAGTCCCCACAGCCTGGAAATTAAAAATGCAATTGATTCCGAGCCCACCTGGGTCTACTCATGCTGCCCCCACAAAAGAACAGTATCCCCACTGGTTTCTTCCCTTCTGCCCAGTGTCGGCGTGTGTCTGTTAGACAAGGTGGGAATACAGGAGCCTGGATGCTCAGTCTCGAGTGCTGGCCACAGAAGTTAATTTACGGCACCTTCCCTTTTATCCATTTATTCCCTCAAGTCACTCGCCCATAAAATAAAGGGAACAAGTACTTTTCCTGGTAGATGGGTTGATTTTACTCAGGAGTCAGCCAGGAATTCAGAGATTCCTGGATTTTTAAACTATGGGAGACTTCTAAATAGGCTGAGAATTCCGGGTATAACTAAAAATCACCTTTTAAATTTTTTAATCTTACCCATGAGAAGATTTATTTCATTCATAAAACATCTTCTAATGGTTAGTATTTGTAAGAAAAAATAATAATTACAAACATATTTTACTGCAGCATTCTAACATGCAAATAGTCTAAAGAGGTCTCAAAATGAACATTTTTGCAAGTAAGTTTCATCTAAAATTACCTGGCTAAGCAATTAAAATTATTCCGACCACTATGTAAACCCATATAAGTAAAATATAACACCAAGACACATTTTCCTTTTAATATTAAAAATGTTTGTGGTTATGAATGCTTAAATTTCCCAGCATTGGAGAGTTGATCCTTAAATGCCCTGCACTGTGGAAGTGATTTCAACTGAAAGAGATCAACAGCTTTTTATTTCCAATCTTCTCCTGTAGAAAGCTTGTACTAACAGGCAGCGCCCCATAAGGCCACAGTAAATGAATCTGGCTTAACACTTGCTACATTATCTGTGGCTTACAGTGAAGGCAAAATGGTATCTAAAACACAGGACTCCACTGGGCATGATGGCTCATGTCTATAATCCCAGGCTTTTGGGAGGCCAATGAGGGAGGATTGCTTGTATCCAGAAGTTCGAGACCAACCTGGGCAACACAGCAAGACACCATCTCCTCAAAAAATAAGAATTAGCCAGGTGTGGTGGCACATGCCTATAGTCCCAGCTACTTGGAAGGCTGAGCTGGGAGACTGCTGGAGCCCAGGAAGTCAAGGCTGCAGTGCACTGTGATGGCACCACTGCACTCAGCCTGGATGACAGAGTGAGATCCTGTCTCAAACAAACAATAACAAACCACAAAAACGCCCCACAGGACTCGAAATGAGACAGAATCTAAGGGATTATAGAGATTAGCGCACCAATTACTTTTTCTATCATTTTTCACCCAGTTAAAGCAGAGTTTTGCATATGTGAGAATCAGACTGAGCTGTACATTATATACAGATACAGACACACACACACAGACACACAGGTTCAAGGGAGATGATGTGTGACTCAACTACTCATCTGGTTTGTCAATTTTGGTATTTGTATGAAAAAGCAAACTTTTCCAGTAAGTTCATGAAATAAATTGATATCCTCTAGGATCTGGATAACCTCCCTCTTCTAGCTACAGGAATGCACTGCACAGCAATGCTGGGCGCTAGCGTGCTGTGGGAACAAACTCTTTATTTATAAAGCACCACTGAGGCACTGGGACTTATGAGTCACGTTCTCTTAAAAAGACTAGTTGGGAGCAGTTCAGAACACTTCTGCCAACTGCATGACTGTACATGAACCTGAAAGTCTTTAACAAATTTCAGACATGGGACAAAACAAGCACACGAGCTATTTTATTTTTAATCAAAATGTGAATCATTATTAAAGTGAATAAAAATTCATGAGTCAGAATAGCATGCGACTTTTTTATTGTTTTCTAAATCTATTTGTACACTTAATATGCTAGTATTAATTTCACATACAGTATAAAGAATGTACTCCAATAATATTATGCGGCAACTACTCACCTGAAAAAAGAACAAAACATCGTCTCTGAAATAATTCCTAATTATACAATTTTGCAAACTAATAAGCACTATAAATATTAAAATGTTCTGACTTCAGTGTATAATGTCAGTAACATCCTGCCTTTTTAAAATTGCTTAAAACATTTGTTAAAGATCATGCAAAATAAACACTGTATTAAAATGCTAGATTATACTCAAACATCAAGACAGTGAAACACAATAGAGCAACTATTTAGCACAATGGCTGGCCAAGTAAATAACTTCATCAGCATATTAATAAAAACCCACTGAGTGATAAACATTGCAAATGTAATACTGACTCTCCGGCACATCTGCGATCTCGCATCTACCATCCTAACTGCGACTTGGGGTAAACCACCAGAATTCATTCTACATAAATGAGCTGTGTTAAAATGACAACAAAATGTCATTGCATGATGATGGGGAACATTTCCAGTCCACACAGTACTTCAAGGTTATCATTCTCATAACTCAGCTAACAATTCATGGAAGGTACAGTTTTACAGTCACACCACTTATATATATATATATTTTTTTACTCTTGCTTTGCTTCATGTTTTTAAACTTTTTAAAAAAGTATTTCCTTCCTTATGATCCTCCCCCAGAATTAACATGCTGACTTAGGAAGAGATGAAGTAGATGAAGTCTCTCTCAGCATAGAAAGCAATGATTTAGTTTTACCTAATTAAATATTTCCTTGTCATTTATTAATTGTCACTGACCTTTTTGATGTAATTATTTCCTCATTCACTCATCTATAAATATTTATTAGTACCTATTATTACCCATGTCTCCCTGATTCTCCTTTTTTTTTCTTCTCATTGCTAAGTTTACTTAGAAAAGTTGAGAAAAGAAAGAGAACAGACCAGGGTGGCTTCTTGGGCATAGCTGGATGGTGCTGGAAGCCAGGCCAAGGCTTTGGAGAGAAGAGCCTCTGACAGATAAACCTAATGGAGGTCACTGGCCCCTGCCCCCACCAACTCTCCCGACAGCTCATGATGGCCCAGTTACACTACTGCGAGCCCTGGTGACTGGCTTTCCTAGTAATCTTTAAAGCCCTCTTCATTACATACTTCCAAGTTAAAATTCAGAACCTCTATGATAAGCAATGCCTTTACCATATAGAACACTGGATCTCAGTTTACTGAGCATCTCCCTGTAGTGTCACAGGCTGTGCACTCTCACCTCAATGAGCCCCTAAGAACAGGGTTTGCTTCTGCTTCACCTATGCCACATCTTCCCTCAAATGCGTGGTCACCAAATGTTCTGCAAAAAGGGTCTCCAGCTTTTTACTTTTTTTTGGGTGGAGGGAGCAAATTAAGCCCTTTAAAATACCTCTGACCATCTTTATACTCAAATAAAGTATAAAGGGGTAATGTGCCAAGGAAAGGTACAGTAGTATTAGCGAGTTTTTAAGCTTCTAATTACAAAGGCAATAGAGGCTGGCTGGTGAGCCATGACTTCTCATGCTCCCCTCTGTCGTGATACGGGTGTCTCTTTTACCACGGCCTCTTCATCTGTTAGTTTTCTGTCAGTGAAATGCAGAAAGACGATGGACACAGATGGAGTCAAAATCCAGGACAATTCTGTCATAAGGGTACAGCAATACTCCTCTCCTCTGCTTGGTTTTCTCAAAGAATGCTTTCTCTTTCTTCTCCAAAGCCTGTGCTCTCAGGAGAGGCCGCTGCATGGAGCTCTGAAGACTCTCTGGAGAGCCTTGTGTAACTTGAACGCTGGCTTCGCTTATGTGTCATGCCTTTTAGATTCTCATTCTGAATAGTGGTTGGGTTGGGACTGGAACTAGGCCTCAAAATGACTTGAGAAGTCTCCCTAATTCCCTCCATCTCATCAAAATTTTGATTGGCTCTATTAGCTGGAGCACTGTTGTTGTTCAGAGTCACGGTGCTCGGTGTTCGGTTCAGATTGTAGGCTTTCTGGCACGCAGGCCAGTTTTCTTCAGGGCTGCTGGCTATCAGGCTGCATTCGGAAGGGCTTTTCTTGTCTTCTGAACAAATGGACATCCGAGCTATAATTGGATCTTGCAGGCCACTCAAGCTATGGGGGATTCCCCGCTTTCCACTGTGACTGTCATCTTCCAGCTCTATGAGATTTGCCTTTTCAAGCCGGGAGTCATCCGCCACTTCATTATGCAGAGAGTGATTGGGAGAACTTTCACTGGATCTCACTCCTGAATCCGATGAATCCTTTTTGTCAAGGAGGGCATCTGATAAATACTCTTTGGCTTTAATGAAAGTTCTGATCGGCTCAGCCGTGTGTTCCGGAGACTTTGGCACTCTCTCTCCTTTCCCTTCGGCTTTTCTGTCTTTGTCATCTTTGAGCAGTGGAGTGTTATCTGATTCTTCTGTGCCAGATTCATCCTCATCACTTGGGAGTTTCTGATAGCGCAGCCCACCTCCCTTAAGCTTCAAATCTGTCTGGAAGAGACTTGACCTTTCTGAAGATTTCTTGCCTGGGAGAAGCTTACTGCCTGACTGATCTGATTTTTCATCTTCTTCAGTGATAGGATCCAGAGGAGAGGCATCATTGGTAGAAACCCCTGACGAATAATCGATAACATCTCCCCTCTTCATTAAAAAGGACTTCCTCCCATCATCGGGCTTTGGCTCACTATCCTTCCCCTTTTCTTGTTCTAGATTTGAATGAATAGAGCCCCCTGATGAACTCTGCCCCATGTAATAAGTGCTATGTGGAGAAGATCTGCCACTAATGGTTGTAGACCCCGGGCCCCCTTCTAGCTGGGACATCTGAGCAATGTATTCTCTATAGGCATCTCTATACTCGGCCTGCACCTTATCAGTAAGTTTTGAAATTTCAATACTGGAATCCTGGGAATTGAGACTCGAAAGACTTGGGGTTCTGCGAGTTTGTGACTGTGAAGACAGAAAAAAAAAATTTAAAAATTCAAATAAGAAAAAAATGCATAAACATCAGCTTAGGAAATACACATGTAAACTAACCATTTTACAAGTCATCAAAATATCAAATTCTTTTAAAAGACTTCCACATAACACAGTTTAACAAAAGCTGTGACCTTATAAATAATGCTGTTATTAGAAAGCTTTCTATAAATTTTAACAAAATCAGTTTATTGTTACTATTTAAAAATACAACTAAACACTATATTAACAAAGAACCTTAGCACTTGTTTCTGTTTTTTTTTTTTGAGACGGAGTTTCGCTCTTGTTACCCAGGCTGGAGTACAATGGCGCGATCTCGGCTCACTGCAATCTCCGCCTCCTGGGTTCAGGCAATTCTCCTGCCTCAGCCTCCCGAGCAGCTGGGATTACGGGCATGCACCACCGTGCCCAGCTAATTTTTTTTGTAATTTTAGTAGAGACAGGGTTTTACCATGTTGACCAAGATGGTCTCGATCAGTTGACCTCATGATCCACCTGCCTCGGCCTCCCAAAGTGCTGGGATTACAGGCTTGAGCCACCACGCCCGGCCGTTTCTGTTTTTTTATTTTAAGAGACAGGATCTTGCTGTGTTGCCCAGGCTAGATTCAAACTACTGGGCCCGAGCGCTCCTCCCGCCTCAGCCTCCTGAGCAGTTGCGACTATGGGCATGCACCGCATGCTTGGCCACAGCCCTTGTTTTTATAACTTCAAACATTTCACTTTTATTTAAGGCCAAAGTCAACTTCATCATTAAAGTATTAAAAGCAGTGAGGCCAACAGTTGGGCCTTAGTAAACAGAAAAAGAAACTAGTTTTACAAGTTGATTTTCAATATGAGTTTTAAAGTTAGAATTGTTTCAGATCCCAGAATAGCTAAGAAAAAGGAGCAAAAAGTACAGATTAGGAAAAAGAAAAGGGAAACGGAAAAGAATCAAGAAAGCTTAAGAAGGGTCAAGAGCAAAGGTTAAGACAAAAAAAGAAGAAGCAAAGTGAATTTGCTGGAGACCTTCTCAAGGAAACAGGACATTTTCTTCCCTCCCCATGGCACTGCTCCTCCTCGGTGCTGCCTGCTGCCTGCTGTGGTTCCTCCATTGTTCTCTGCGCCCTGCTCTGCTTTTCCTCCTGTGCTCTCCTGGCTCCTCTACTCCTCCTGCATCTCTCACTTTGCTCTGTCCCTGACTCTATCTCTCACCTGGCCTCCCTCTTCCAAGAATCCCCAAAGAACACGCCTACATCTAATGCCAGATGAGAAGAGACCAATATCCATGAAGGGTGTGCAGGCGTCCTGGAAAACCAAAGGATGATACTCCAAGGGACACTATGTGGCCAGTGTTCCCATGACGATGTACTTCAACCAACAGATACTGAATGCAACAGGAAAATCCCCTGGGCATTTGCTGACCACCCTGGCTCAAGTAGCCCAGTCCCTACTGACTCTGCATGCCATGACCCTGATGGATTTCCCAGCTCTCGTCAAGGTCTAATGAGCTAACTTTTTCTTTGTTCCACTCACTGCCCCTCTCCAGGTGAATGTAGCAAGAGTACAGGGAGCCCTCCAGCTTGTCTCTTGTCCACTTAGGTATTCAGTAAACATTTTCTGAATGACTGTATAAATGCCCATATAATCTCAGTGAACTGAATGGTGCCCTTATCCTTCAATAATGTGAAAAATGCCATTCAATAAATACCTGCCAACTTAGATTACTGTGACGAGGGGCACCTTCATCCAGGCCAAGTGTGTTCAGTTCTTCGAAGCTGAAGTTGAGCGTGTAGGGCGTCTGGCTGGAGAGCTCCGTGTGAGGCAGCTCGCTGTGGGCAGCCCGGCGAGCAGGTTCACCGTGCGGGGCTGGGCCACTGCTGCTCTCACCGAGGAAACGTGGGTCTTCAGGGACCACCTGGCTTTCTGCGTTTCTCATTTCTAGTACCTTAACAGAAGAAACACATACATATTTACATTAACAAATCGTATTTTAGAAGCTTTATAAATGGTTTAGAAAAATAAAACATTATAAAGCTACTACAACAGCAGTGAGAAAGCATACTTCTGGTAAGTGAATTTCCAGTGAATTTGTACTTCTTTCATGTTAATTAATACTCAAGGAAGCAACAGTAGAAACCACCATACATACAACTACACTGCAATTTGTCCATTAAATTATTACTTCAGTTAAAATTTAACTTGAGGACAAAGCAAAATGCAGCTGGAATGTGTCAAATCCAGAGCTGGCCGGGATACCTACTGGAGCAGTAGATCCAGATTGCGTTCAGAAAGATGGCAACAGGGAAAGCAGTCTCACTAAGAAGGGAGTTCAACTCCGAATACAGCACGGATGAGTGGGGGGATCTACCACCAAGGGGCGGGGGGGGGCATGGATGGAACATCACTAAGGGGAGGCAGCATGGGTGGGGGACTCCGGGTATGCCGATGGCCAGGGTGAGCAGACATCACCTGGGGTTGGGGGAACAAGGCATTTGATCCAGTACCAAGGGCAATCACACATGTAAACTAACTTGACAGGATTCCTGCTAAAATGGGGCAATGCAAGCCCTATAAGGACAAATGCTGAAGGTCAAGGCCTCGAAGGCTTCGAGGAGCCTGATGAGAGTTAGGGCAGGTGAAAGCGTGAAGAACTGGCAGGTTAGTAAAATGGTGTCTTCCCCAAATCTCTAAGTGAAATGCCCAAAAAGGCAAAGGCTGCCAAGTGCTGCTGTGCGTATTTCCATAACACAGGATTGCACATAAGTGTAAAAGGCAGTTTTTAAGTTTAAAAAGTATATGAAAAAATACCAGTTTAGGCCAATACTTATTGATACTGTTTTTCTACAATGTCGTGAATAATTTTGAGTGCTAAAATAATGTAAATATCACAATGTTATAAATATCTTACTGTGCTTCTGAAAAGGTGCCAGTCTCCAAAATTCATATTCATCTCTTTCTTCAGTTCATCAATGTTACACTGAGCTAACACACGGCCATTGATGTTTGCCTGAGTAAAAATTAAAACAATTATGGGTAGAAACACAAAATGTGAAATATTCTGAATTACCAGTGATTGAAAAGTATGCTTATGTTTAGTTTTAAGAAAGTGTCTAAAGACCAGAACGGTTGACCAAACTAAGGTTATCATCCTATATGATAATATAATAAACCAGATGAATTTGAACACCGTAAGCCACTCCATATTTTCTCAAATGTCTCGGGCATTCAAGGAAAACAAATCACTCTTCTGGGACCAACCAAGAGCTAACACTCCCAACTACCTCCAAAACTACCTATGCTGCCATGAGCAACAACAAAACTGCTAGTTTTTCTTTTCTTAGAAAACCTGAACATGAACACAAGCTGCTGGGAGGGGACAAGGACATCTGCCCTTATAAGCGTGTTGGTCACTAACAAAGTTCTAAATGAAGTAGGCCTCACAAACTTGTTTATCATTATGTTAGATACAGATAGGAAGAACACCCACTCATTAATTTCCCAATCTATTAAATTCACAAGGCTGGGTATGGTGGCTCACGCATGTAATCCCAGCACTTTGGGATGCTGAGGTGGGTGGATCACATATGGTCAGGAATTCGAGACCAGTCTGGCCAACTTGGTGAAATTCCATCTCTACTAATATTACAAAAATTAGCTGGGAATGGTGGCACGTGCCTGTAGTCACTATTTGGGAGGCTGAAACAGGAGAATCGCTGGAACCCAGGAGGTGGAGGTTGCAGTGAGCCATGACCATGCCACCGCACCCCAGCCTGGGTGACAGAGCAGGACTCCATCGCAAAGAAAACAAATCATAAAAAAGGAAGTGATCACTTTTGGTTCTCTGTAATTCTAGTCTCCCCTAAATGAAACAGCATTTTCTTTATGAATAACAGGTAACTTACTGCCTTTATAAAATACAAAACCTGACTGTATTAACTGGGGCAAAATTATGAAATAGCTAGCTATGTTTATAATCAATAGACTGTTCCATTTCCAAGTTAATCCTGAAGAAAACAGTGGACACAACAAGTATGTGACAGAGGCCCTGCTGCAACAACGCCACAGAGCCCTCAGCATGGAGGAGGCCATCGGCCTGGGAGCAAAGAGCTGAGTGGGAGAAAGCCACTACCCTGAAGGGAACAAACTAGTCAAAAAGGACCTGTGTGGGAGCCCTGTTCTTTCCTGACACCAACAAGATGCCTGGAGGAGAGAGTGGAGCTTGTCCACGGAAAAGCCGGTGTTTGACTCATGCAAACAGACCAGCACGAGCCAGCTCTGTAAGGAAACTGACATTATCTGAAACCTTTCTGAAATTGGCTAAGATTAGTAAAATGGTGTCTACATATGCTCATAATTCTTTTAAAAACTTCTCTCAGAATGTCATTCTTTAAAGTATATATATTAGAGGCTAGTTATTAATCTTCTAATTTACTTTAATGTACTCTGATATAAAAAGTACACCTTGGTGAAAATCTATTACAACGACTTTGTTAACGCCTTCCCCAAAATCTCAGGCATCTCTATCCAACTTCCTGATAGCTGCTAGAATTGCAATAGGATTTTAGAAGAAAAAACATTACGCAAATGCATTAACCTTGCAAACCCAAACCTCTGCAGTTTCATCAAATGTGACATGATCCTAAGTCCTGCATGACATAAAAGTGAGAATCTGGAGAAAATGAAGCAAGTGTGGCTTACTTAGATAACTACTAAGTCACAGTAATAAATATTACACTTAGAGAAAAATGTAACACAAAAGGTTTTCTGTTCCACATTGAAAAAATGAGTTCTATTTATCTCAATGGGAAATCCCTAGAGCTTTATATCTCTCATCAAGACATTCTTTACTTACATTAGGTCATTTTAAAAAGAACATGGTAAGAGAGCTACTTTATTTTCTTTTATCCATTTATAAAATAAGAGAAAACAGCGCAATTTTAGAATACAAAATAGTAAGAATTATGTTTTCCACTTTGAGCTTTCTCATTTTACCTGAGAATACATGTTTGGGAAGCTCTAAGTGTGCACGACCCACCGAGCCCCATCTTCCACCCCCAGCGCAGTCTCTGGTCTGTGTGTAAATGGCTCCCTCACCTTTCTGATCGTGGCACAATACTGAGGCAGCATACTCTGGTCCAGCCCTTCTATTTGTTTCAGCTTCTCACACACTGCATCCACATTCAGTGAATTCAGTAATACCACTGGGCCTGGGGCTGGGCCTGACCCCTAGAGAAGTCAAGGAAAAACACAGGTATGAATAGGATTTAATGCCATCTATAATGAGGTCACAGAAAAACTCATTGAGTTATACCATGAAGTAAAGTAAAAACTACAAATGTGTGTAGTGTGGTAAGGAAATACCATTAGGGAACAGATTTACTTACTGTTGTAACCTAATGAGTAGCTTTTATTACAGCTGATAAAGCCTGGTCAAAACCATTTTTTGTAAGAAAAAAGACCACTCCATGAACTAAGCTTAGGCCAACTTCTCAAATGTTTACTGCCTAACCTCAACAGAAAAGGGTGCTGTGCTTAATAAGAGGAAGAACAGAGGGGAAAAAAATGCAAAAAGATGGAAAACTACTTATGCCAATATTATATGAATACAAAAATAAACATATAGAATAATTTTAAAGTACTTATACTACACAAGCAACTTCGAGTGTTTCTACAGACTACCTTAATGGTTTACAAGAGCTGAAGTTTTCAGATCTTGATCATATTTGATCCATGGGATCTAAAACTTCCTTTAGAATCTGTTCAATCATCATGTAAGTATAAAACAACAGCATTAGTTTTCAACATGTGAAAGTAAATATCATCTATTAAAATTTGCTCTCATTTAAAAGGAAAGTCAAAATAATAAATAAGTCCAGTATTTACTTAGAGAAAAACATTTCCAGAATGTGGATACTAATAGACCATTTGCCTGTGGTCAATAATAAATGCATCTCCCCAGGATAGATGTACCCACTGTGGTCTAGAGGGTACCTCAGCCTGGTCAAAGTTAGGACTCAAGGTCCCAGAACAAATAGCTACTTAGTGGTAGACTTGAACCAGAACTCTAACTTGTCAGGTCTTACAACTTCCTATTTTTCTTTTTCTAGCTTCTTTCACTTAGCATAATGTTTTCAAGGTCTATGATGTTATAACATGTCAGTCCTTCATTTCTTCTTATTGTGAGTAATATTTAACTTTTCTATCTTTCAAATGTTTTCATTCCTCAACCAGTCTCCTTGCTCTGGATACAGTTAAATTTGTTTACATTTTTCTTGTTGTTAAAAAAAATCACAAAAAAAAAGTCTAATCAACAAAATAATGATTTTACTGGATTATGCCTCATAGATAAAACAAATATCCATAAGTCCCTACTAATATAACTAAATAATTGAAAAAAAGTGAATTAATTAGGAGGCAGAGACAGCTTTTCCTTACAGAATTCCAATTAATAAATGTAGAAGAGAAAAGCAGAAAAAGACCATTAGACAAACACAGTAACACACATATCCACAGATGGATGCTAAAATTAATGGGCAAAAGTATAAGCAGAAACAGGATATTTGCAGAGTTTCAAGTACCTCCTCCAAGATATTTACAAGTTATAGAAGGAACAATAAAACTTTACAGTACTGAAACCTGGCAGATGCCACCTTAACCAAGTGACCAAGGTTAGCATTAGTGGTGGTAAGGCTTATGGACATCATGCACGTTCTACTATGGTGCACAGGGAAGGGCACAGCATCATTCCTGCAGTTTTCTAGCCACATACATTCCCCTTCTAATCACGAGGAAACATCAGACAAACCCAAATTGAGGGACATTCTACAAAATAACCAGTATTCCTTAAAAGCATTAATTAAGGTCATGAAAGATAAGGAAAGACCAAGAAACTGTCACAGATGAGAAGAGACTAAGGAGAAATACAATGCAACTGAACTGGATCCTGGAGCAGAAAAATGACATTTGTGGAAAAGCTGGTAAAATTCATCTCAAGTCTGTAGTTGAGTTAGTAGTATACCAATTTTAATTTCGGCTTTTGATTATTATACTAAGTTATGAAAGATGTTTACACTGAAGGAATAGCATTTTTTCTATCTTTTCTTTCAGGTTAAAATTATTTTAAAGTAAAAAATTTATTTCAAAACTCCCCAAATCTCTCTACTTCTGATTGTGCTAAAAACGACAAGTATAATAGACATGGATCAAATTGTCAGCTTTGGAGGGAAAATGTAAAATACTGAAGAGAATGTTGTGTCTATGGAGAAGCTGAGAATTCAGCAACAGAGACATGTTAATAGAGATACTACCCCTTTCCTTTAAAGCAAAAAACTCTACCCAATGTTACTTTCATAATCTTCTTATAACTTTTACAATTTATCATTACTTTAAAGCATATTTTATTCTCCACTGGGGATTAGGTAGAATATGTATGTTACCTCTGAATGAAAGACAGACACGTATGGACACTAAAATCTTTGCAATTCCATCAAAACTTAGTCTGACTCTTATTAAAATTTTGGCTTCACACAAAAGCTAAATTATCAATAAAAATATGTTATAATATGCTTTTTTGAGGAAGAAATGGTAATCACCTGCTAGGCCTTTTCTAAAATAATCACATATAATAAAATTATATTGAAACCAAATGAATCTTATAACCAAAATAATTTTGGGGGTGAAAATCTCACAAAAGGGAGGAGAAAGAGTAGAAAAATGAAAAGAAAAAAGAAAAAAGCACATTCAATGATTCAGCAGGTAAATTCTTATTAGAAACTAAGCATATTACTTTGAGAATACACAGAATAGTTAAAATGATAATACTTTAATGATTATTATGCATTCTTACTTAAAATTATCTGTTATGTCAAAAACAGACCATTTTAGCCTGTTGATTTTAACATCAGAACTTGTTTAAAATTTTTTCTAATTGAGAAAGCTGAATGTTGAAGATGTGAGTGTGTTTAAACTGTTAAAAATAAACTTCAAAATTTACACAGGTCACAGTTTCTCCAGGTAAAAGTAAAGCTATGAAAATGCTGAAATTACCTTGAGGTAACTGCATCACTGTGTACTGCAGGTAGATTAAAACTACACTCTACAACATGATCGTCTTTGGTGCATTTATTAAATAAGCACAGAACTGAGGGCCATGCAATGGCTGGAAGCAACTCATACACTGAAGGCACCTGAATGAGCACAGACTTCTAAACAGCTCAGCAGAAAGCTGCCAATGATTGCTTCTGGTAGTCTAATAAGAAAAGTAAGATTTCACTGAGAGTTTCTGTACCTGTCTCTGTTTGTTAAACCCAGAGTCACATGGCTTTAAGGAAGGAATAAGACAGAGTGAAGGACTAGAGCATAAAGTAACACAACCGATACACATCTGTAAGTGTCTAACATACACAGGCAGAGCCGGTCATTCCTGTTTCCCCTTCGCTCTGAACAGAGGACAGCAGCACACAGCAGGAAGCACACACGCATGCGCACATGCCCCACCCACAGTAGCCATATTCCGTTCACACGTGCCTGCTCATTTTACATTTATACTCTAAAAAGTTATATTTTTTGTGTTTAGAAGAATAAATCATGAGCCATACATTTAATAAGAAAACGAGGTACATCCAATTGGCTACGAAAAGTCAATATTCCTACTATATGCAAGTTTAACATTAATTTAAAAACACGGAATAAGAAGGCTTAATCAGACTATCACATAATCATAAACTATCTGGCCACACTAGGTCATGTTTAGAAATACACTTTCAGATTTGGGTGTCGCTTCTTTGGGTATGTGGCACATAACAGACGTACTAAATTCATTTCATAAGAATGATCCCAAGAGGCTTATAGCGTGAGAAATCATAAGCATACAGACAAACCCTGCAGCTGTGATGAACACAACCTGACTTCAGTGAGGTGGATTTTTAAAGTCTAATCCAAAGCAAAGAATCACTGCTGTCAATTCTTTTTCTGTACTTAGATTGATAGTAAATATTTTTTAAATGCTTAAAATGATCTAGAGATGACTGGCAATTTGTACCGAAGTTAACTTACAACAGTTTTAGTACATTAAATGGTAGGGCTCTGCTAGCCTAACATCCAATGTCTTTCTTTTAACATATTCAGTATCTGGAGTACTTCACGGAAACCCTGTTTTCTAGTTGACACTATCGACCTTATTCTAAATAGGTTAGAGGAGTGCTAAGGAAATTACAGTTTACTACAAGACATCCAAAACACAAGAGAAAGCTATTATTAACCTGTTTGGACAATGTAACTTACTCCTAAGACATAACAAACTACTTAAGAAATACCAGGTCAAAGTTGACAGATTAGGCATAACACTACATTCTAAGAGCAATCTTTTAAAAAGCACAAGTACTGGCAGGGTGTGGTGGCTCACACCTATAATCCCAACTTTGGGAGGTCGCAATGGGTGGTTGACTTGAGGTCAGGAGTTTGAGATCAGCCTTGCCAACATGGATAAACCGTCTCTGCTAAAAATACAAAAATTAGCTGGGTGTGGTGGAGCACACCTGGGTCCTAGCTACTCAGGAAGCTGAGGCAGGAGAATCACTTGAATCCAGGAGGCAGAGGTTGCAATGAACCAAGATTGTGCCACTGCATTCCAGCCTGGGTGACAGAGCGAGACTCTGTTTCAGAAAAACAAAACAAAAACACAAGCACTAAACCACTGCAATAGACATAATTTTGTTATTTTTAAACTTTTAGCTGTACCTCTAGGATTTCATAACATTACTATATTATTTCTGTGAAAATATCCCAATCAATTTAGTTGAAAATTGTTTAGGAAAAAAGTTTTCTTGAGGTCTGACACAAAAGACTTTCAAGCGGGAAGTGAAGACAATTTTTCACTATACTTTAATAAGAGGAAAAAAATGGGCAAATACTTTCCCAAATTCAAATAGAATAGTACAAATCCACTTCTAAGATACTTCACAAAGTGTGAATGGTGTGCAAACTGGTCAGGGCTACTGTGCGAAGTCGCTGAGAGCTGACAGGGAGTACCCGTCCCAACACAGCCTAAAACGCCTTCCACCGCCTGCCCTCAGCGCCTTCCGCTTTCCTGGCCATGTCTTCTGAACAATGAGAAACAGCTTAGCTCGCAGACACACTTGGTGGAAAACAGGCTGTAAGTTCTGAACCAGTGGTAACAATAAAAATTCTCTACAGGTGAACCTTTGTTTTGTTTGTTTTGAGACAGGGTCTGCTCTGTCACCAGACTGGGGTGAAGTGGTGTGATCCTGACACTCAGCTGATCCTCTCTCTTCAGACTCTCAAGTATGGGGACTACAGATGTGCACTACCATGCCCTGCTGGCTAATTTTTTTTTAGAGAGACAGGGTCTTGCTATGTTGCCCAGGCTGGTCTTGAACTTCTGGGCTCAAGTGATCTTCCTGCCTAAGCCTTCCTAACTGCTGGGATTCCTACATGAGCCATCACATGGGGACTTGTTTTTCACTTTTTACTTGGTCCCTGGACTGGATCCTGTTTAATGAAAACCGAGACTTTCATTTTTAGTATCTTCATTAATTCAGTTTTCATCAATATCTAACGGTAAAGATAACAGCACACTGGAAATCATGATACTGTATTAATAATGCCTTTGCAGTCCTGAAATTCCTTACGATTAAACTTTGTGCTAATTACTGTCATGCTTCTTCAACAAGGTATAAAAGTGATCTAAATAAAGCTGTCTAAAGGTAATGAGTAAACCCTGTTGCTGGTCAAGAATCCGTGGCCTTCAGAGTGCTGATAATCTCTCAGCGGCCTTCAGGTCCACGCTCTATGCGGCAGGACTTCGTCACTTTTGCTCACTGCTGCATCCCACTAGAACAGCACCCCTTACACTCCAGAAATGTTTGCTGAACTAACTGCTGATTATGCAACCATCTGTGCAACAATTCAGAGAAAAATGAAAGGATGAAGAAATGTTTTATTGCTCCTTTGAAAATGTGCTTTTCAATGAAACACAGTTGCCACCAGGAGCAGTATACCTTAAATTAAACCAGACTACAGAGCTTCTAGAGCAACTCTTTGAGATGACAGAACAACGTGCCACTGAGGAGACCTGGCTGGACACAGGCCCTCAATACTGGGTCCTTCCCTTCACTAGGGTCACAGAACGATGTGAATGCTGCCATTTCCTAGTGGGAACTTTACTAGAAGGTAAAGGCACCAATGAAAATATCCCTGGAAAGCTTTCAACATTTTAAAGTATCTCAAGTATTCAAATAACCTAGAAATTCTTCTAAATTCTAAGAAAACAAACCAATTAACACCTTTGGGCCTAAGAAGCATCAACAGATAAAAAGGCTGCGTGAATCTAAACTGATTGGACATCTGTACACCACTTCTATGACTGAGACAAAGATGATTTAACCAAAAACAGTTTGAGTTCTGCGTCTTTAATGCTCCCTGGATTCTGGTCTTTGGGTAGCAGTAGCAGTAGTAAGAAGAATGAAGTATTTAAAGCATGCTAAAGCTGACTAATTCTTAAATCAAACCTATGAGGCAAGTCTGCTTTTCCTGGTGAGAACACTGAGAATCAGAGGGTGAAGTAATCTGTCCAAGGCAAAGAGCTCATCACCAGGGTCTGTTTAGCTCAAAAGACCAAACACCTGACTGAGTCATGCTCAGGACCAATGGGGCAAAGCCGGAAACACGGTGGAGAGCACCATGATCTGTGACACAGGACTCGAATTCTACTTCCAAATCTGGCACCCCCTCCTGTGTCCCTCTGGTAAGTCTGATACGTTCCATCTGTGCCACATGGGGACTAGCACACACTGGGGGACCCTCAAGAGGGAAGGTAAGTATAATGTGGGTGCCAGGACTCTGCTTTTATTGGTTTTATAAACTGGAGCTTTGATTAACAGTTCATTTCTAAAAACGGCTTCTGTGCTTTGAAAGTTTGAAAAACACTCTTCCTTTCTAGCCCTAATACTCTGGGGAGTATATCTTGCATATAGTACTAATTTTTAAATCTGGTTTCAAAATATTTTGTATATATTTTTTCTCTATTATACAATTATTTTTTGAAAGCTAGCATGGAGGCTTTTAGATATATCCAGGTGTTTCACAGAAGTGATGATTTATATTTATATTATTAATATATTTTATATTAATATATCATTAACATATTTTATAATAGAAATATATTACTTATATATTTTATAATAAATGCATTGTTATTACATTATAATGTTTACTATTTATATTACTACACATATTATTAATAATATAAATCCTCACTTCTGTGAAACAGTTGGATATACCTATAATTTTATCTGATAAGTCCTTGCCTGGACCTCACAAGCTATAAGCACTACAATGTTCCTTAATGTAAGAAAACTCAATTATTTTTATAAGGATCTAATTTATTAAGGTGATTCAGATGTTCCTCATGGTAAATAAAAATTAAAATATGGGATCACCACTATTTTGAAAAGACCACGGCTGGTTAACCCCTTATGGTCTGGCTTTTTAAACACATTACCTTGTGACATGACAATCTGTCCAAAAACGTTTGCGTAGCTCTTGATTCCTCTCAAGTGTTATGCAGGGGACACCTGACTGAGCAGAGATGGGACCAAAGGGAAGTCCTTTGTCCAGAAACATAGAGTTTTCTGTGACAGGGCTTGAGGGCTAAATACTCTTCCGTTAGGTACTCTCTGTGGGTCCAACTACAAAGTCCCGGCAATGTTCCCATGTCCTGATTCTTTCCATTTCCACCACGGCTTTCAATTTCGCATTGAACTAAGTGACTACTTACTTTTTCTAGACTTCAACAAAACACATTTTACATGCTATTGTTATTATTAATTTCAAAACAGCAAAGGAAGCTTAGTAAGCATCTGTTATTTGCTATGCTAATCATAAAATGATCTTTTCTTAGTAAAACAAAAGCAAATGGTAGGGTTATTGTACTAGAGAAAGTCGCTAATATATGCAGAGCACCTTCATTGAGCTTCTAAACACATTTCAGGAACTACATGATTTCCCCTTCTCCAAAGACTCATTTCAAAATTTGCCAAATGCTCCTTTACCAATCCCTGAAAAAAACTACGGTCACCTTATAATGGCATGTATTTGTCTACATTCTTGAGCATGGGAATAGCTACTATGTCAGCGTGTCTATGTCATTAAGGCCATCAACTTCTTCATAGTATCTGATTTTCTTCAAACATTTGCTGAGGAATTTTAGCTCAGAGAATTGAATTGCATGCATGAATCTATATGCTAAAGGCTCTCTGACTAAACTGAAGGCCATTCTTGCATACGGTGGTGATGACCCACGGATTAAAGATTCCCTAAGCACTAAAGAGAATTATTGTCATTTACTGTGGATAACTGATGTCACTTAAACACTTCAGCTGACATGTTAATGACTTTAAAAGAATCATCAACAATGAAAGCCCCACAATAGTTCTCTTTCTCTCTCTTACTAATATTAACTCAAAGAAAATAAAAGTCAAATAACTATTGCCTGCCAAAATGCATGTTTCAAGTTAAAAATTATGGACAAACTTAGGATGCAATATTTCACCATGTTAACTCCAACTGCTATGACACATTTCAGCACCGCTATAGGCTACACTGACCATATTTACATGGGTGTAACACAGTCTGTAAATGAAACAACCGAAGTTAAAATACAAACTGGGCCCTTAGATTCTACATTCTAAATGAATATATTTTAAGGCTCATCACAAACTTACTTCTTATTAAGTATGAAGTCTTATTTAGTAATTTTTTTTTTTTTTGAAACAGAGTCTCTCTCTCTCTCTCTCACCAGGCTGGAGTGCAGTGGCATGATCTCGGCTCACTGCAACCTCCACCTCCCGGGTACAAGTGATTCTCCTGCCTCACCCTCCCAAGTAGCTGGGATTATAGGCACATGCCACCACACTTGGCTGATTTTTGTATTTTTTTAGTAGGGACGGGTTTCAGCATGTTGGCAGGCTGTTCTCGAACTCCTGACCTCAAGTGATCCACTAGCCTCAGTCTCCCAAAGTGCTGGGATTACAGGCATGAGTCATCATGCCCAGCCACTTACACTGTAATTTATGAAATGATTCCCTCTACAAGTTTTTTTTTTTTTTAAGAGATCTATTTTAAGGTGTTGGCAAAATAAATAAATAATTTCTTTTACATGTTGAACAATCTTCTGTGTTTATCTGGAAAATTTATTCTAACAAATATGTAAGGTAAAGAGGAGTATTATATAGTACTGCACTAAAACTCAGACTAAGACTTAACTAAATGTAGACACTGAGATGGAGTTCCTAAAGATGCATTTTTGGTCTACGCCATCTAGCTCACATGTCTTTTTGCAGTCTCAAAGGTGATACTGGATACTTTTCTAAAATATTCCACATGTGTAATACCAACTACAGGCTTAATAAAAACAGTCAAAGGCAAAGCTAGAGCTCACACTAAGGAGCAAATACTACCAACTGAACACCCCTGATGGCTGCTAGAAAAAGTCCTAAGTCCTTCCTTACTGGAGAATCAAAAAGACCCCCATCCCATGTATTGAAAAAGGGGAAAAGCAGGAGGAAATAATGGGTGAAGTTAAACATCCGCTTTTTAATTAATTCATGAACCATAATTATTAGCATTCAGCTACTCTACACTAGCTGCTCATCACACCATGAATGCAGAGTTAGTGAGCTGCTAGCATCACAATTAAGACGGTCATTACTGAGGCAGAAGCAATGAGATGCCAGCGATCCACACCACAGGACTACTCCATTACCCTCGAGGAGTCTGTGGGTGAAGAAAGCCCCTCAGCAGCATCCTCCTTGATAACTTCCTAACAACACAAAACAGGAGAGTACGGGTGAAAGGGGGAAGGGAGGAGCCAAACTGTGAAGACAAATGAACATGATGGTAAAATAATACACCACACTCAAACTAAACACTTTATATGAAGAGATCTTCCCTGCATAGCATTTAAAACATAAACAGCAGTGTAAGTGCTAGAGCTTTCTGCAACCTGATTTATAAAAATATATTAATAGAGAGTTTCTTTTTTTAAGCTCTCTATTACTTTCATCAACAGGAATCCCTAATATTTTGGGCACAAATGTCTTCTGTTTTAGATTAATTAGATTCAATAGTTCATTGGAAGAATGTCCCTTATCTTGTTTAATTCCTGCCATTTGACTGAAATGTTCTTCTTTCAATACGTCCTCTATTTTTTATATCATACCGTCATATTACCTTTATAATATATAACATATTATATATTATAAAGGTAATATTATTATAATACATATTAATAAATATATATATATAATAAAGGTAATATGTACATATGTCCTTTAAAAAGATATTAGAAATTAGCAAATGTAAAGGTTTAGTTTTAAAGTTTTGGTAGCAAACACCATATTACAAGCCAGAAATCTCTGGCTATAAACAAGTTCAACATTTATTCACTGAGCCTGCTAGGCATTTTCCTTTCATAGATATTTATCAGAAATGAAAACAGATACATTTTACATTAGTAATAGGTTATGTTTATTAAAACTATGTATAAAAGAAGTTGTACTCTTTTACTATGTAAAGGAAATAATCAAACCTCTAATGCTATCTATGTTTATTATTAAGTTAATATTTTCGTTACCCTTTTATATACTTACTAGGCCATTGTTCTGATCTCTGGGCAAATTCGTTTTTACTGATGGACGTGAGATGAGATGTTGGGAGGCGCCAGGGTAATACCTTGGCGTGTAAAGGTATGGGGCAAAGAATGGCTATGGAAAAACATGTAACAAAAAAGGGGTAAACAATTACAGAAATGAAAGTGTAATGAGATTTTTCAAATGAAACCAATAACATACAACTCCAAAATTTTAATGCAAATGACAAAACAAAAGAAAAAAAACCCTCACTATTCTATAAGACACCAAACTCAAACTTAGGACATATTATTTACATTTTTATATTAGTCATTTCATGTAAGCTTTTTGAAGAAAAAAGAGCAACTAAAGTTTTGCACTTTACAATTTGACACGAGTTTCTCTCTATATTTCATATGTTCACAACCTTACCATCTGTCAGGTTCTAAGTGACTTAACCAATATTAACTCATAATCTTTACAAAAGAAGCAAACTGGAATCCTAATACTATTCCTTACCAATAAAAAAGATTAGCCTAAATAAGACCGAACAAAGTCTGGAATATGTGAGGACACCCTGGCACAAATGCCACGTATAATGTTATTACAAGTTCCTGGAGCTCACCTCTAGTTTACACCCCAGAGTTTACTCTATATCCTAAATAAGCAAGCATATTTTTTAAAAAAACAGGTGGGGAATCCACTGTTTATGTGAGATTTAAAACAATGGCATGCATTTGTAAACAGCTCCATATAAATAGGAAATAGCAAATTATACAGGCTAAACATAAAGACTGCAGTTCAAGAGGTTTTGTTAAACTGAGGTGAAACCTTTCCCACCCTTTTTACTCCTGTCAGCTTAGAAGAATTATTCTGCTTTTAACTTAACACTAAAAAATCTCAAATAACTAGAGCGAGAAGTAGCTAGATTTAAAAACAAGAGAAAACTGTAAATGTTTAAAAAATAATAAAATGCTATTAAAGCATGATTACATTATTTTTATTCATACAATTAGTGAACACAGTATCTCCGGCTAGACGGTAAGGTAATCGTTCGTTTTTTAAAATAAACTTTTGGTTTCAAATTTTCATCTGGCATCAACGAACCTATTTTATGTAAACTTACAGTAGATTTTAAGACTGGTAAATAAAAACCTGCATTTCACACTGCCTACCACACAGTTAAATTTTACAAAGATGGAATACATGATAAAATGCTATTATTCCACCTTTGTCTCCTTTTCTAGCGAGAGATTTCTGGAATAACATTTCCAGGGCCTTTTTAAACAGCATCTAATTACTTATACAGCCAACATTTTTCAAAGACTGAAAGTTTAAATTCTGGAATCCTTTTTCACATTTATTCTAAATTCTCTTTCTTCCCAGCTCAAATGAAATTTATTTAGGCAGGCAGTTTAGGCACTAGGCTTCTATGACTAACTAGGTCCTATGTTTTCTCGAATTAGACTAAAGAGGGAGACAGTAGAAATAAGAACTTGCAATGCATCGTAAGAGAACAGTTCCAGAAAGTGTAACCCCAGGTGCATGCTCCATTTTCCTACAGGAAATGTTACTGCTTGAGGTCATTAAAGCTTGGGCCTACTAAACTTGACAGGGCCTGAATACCACTGATAATTAGTTGTTTCATCTTTTCATCTAGGAAATTATCATATTTATATTCAGTAAAAAATTATAGATGACTGAAGATAACCTGACATAAAACTCTAAAAATGGGCTATGGTGCTATTATTTGGCAAAAACATCTGAGTTCCATAAGCAGTACTTCCCCGTCATTACCTCACATTTAAAAGACAAAGGCATATTAAGTATAGGTTTACTAAACTACTGTAGGAATTTAAGTTTATCATTGTTTTAAAAGCCAATCTAAACTACTATTCAAAATGTAACAAATAAAACATCTGTTTAGAAATAAAAAATCAGATTCCTCTGAAGTATAGGACAGTCACTCCTGACCCTGTGGAATCTGTTTACTTATCAAGAAACTAAGTAAAAGACAAAAACTCTAATATTCAGACTCTCTTGAGATCTAGAACACATTAAAATTCTAAATTATTTTGATTTCAAAAAAATCATATATTTTACATTCAAATTTTACATTTTTTTTATTTTAAAGCCAAAGTACAGTTTTAAAACAATAATAGTATCCACAAGCAGAAAACTGAGGTTTCCCTGGAACAAATTCTTACAAATAAAGCTGCCTCCACCTTCCTTACCCTGTTGTAGAAGGGATGCTGCGGGCCCGTCATGCCGCTGTAGTAGCTGCTGTGAGGCTGTGGCGACACCACTCCACCTGCAAAGGGCCCATTGAAGGATGTGGAGGAGCACACTGATGGGGGCTGACTGTACCCTGACGGAGCCCTTGGAGGACCCTCGTGCAGAGGGAGAGGTGGGTATGCCAGTCCTCCGATACTGATTTGCTCTCTGGCAGCGCGGACATCTGCAAGATTCAATCAGACCCCAGAAGGCAAGAGAAACCAGGACATTAGGAATTAGTCAAATTATCACATTCTTCTTTAGTTACTAGGCAGAAACATGACTTTATCACTCCTGCCAGGGATTCCAACTAAATTAAAAAAGAAGACAGAAAATCTTGAAAACTCACAGGCCTTTTAGTGAGAAATAACCAACTACTAGGCATAAAAACGTTTTAACCATTTGAAAAGTCACCAATATCTGGATTCTTCTCTTCAGTTATCGGAACTACTGATTTTTCTCTGACTCTTAAAGGATTTAAGATATTCTAGCAGTTCTTTTGATTCCTAATGTTATCAACAATTAATAACTCATATTTGTTGGGTATTAACACATATAATGTTAGCAAAGACCGTGGGTTTGCCAATGATGAGACTCATCCACCTCTGAACAACAACAAATTCCACAGCCCTTTCACATCAGCCTTGTAACAACAGGAGCCTAGAAAACAGAATGCAGAAGTAGTTTGAGGCAATCTCTTCACAGTTCCCGGAAAACTCAAAGGCATGTCAGCAGAGCCACGGCATACAAAAGACTGTTTCAATAAAACTTTTATGCACAGAGTGGGACTTCCAGAACTTAATTTATTCAAAAATCTTAATGTCTCTACTCTCAGGTTCTACTACCCAGATTTAAGTTAATATCTGAAAAGTAATACAAAGATTCTCTTACTTCTCTGGATAGAGATCTCTCTTAAGAACTGAAGACTGGTGACAGGCAAATTACAATGGATGGACATCATAAAGTCATGACTGTATGTTAAAAGAAATCCAATTCCAAGGACTTGGGTGGTTGGGGGGGTGGTGGGCAGAGGGATTATAATAAGGTGAGTTCCACAAATATTAACAGGATTTTCTTAACAATCCCATAAGGATGCCAAGAATCCTAATCTTTAATGTCATTAACTTTTCTGTGTAGTGCTTAGTTCAATACTTCTTGGTTTTTCATAGAGTAGGAGAAATGTACACAGATAAGTTAGAAACACAAAAAATTTTTAGAACTTTAGATGAAAAATTAAATTTGCTACTAATACTCACCTGCAATAATTTCCCGTAGTTTGGGATCTAGGTTTACAGTGCAGGGCAGAAAGACTTTTACATCTCGAGCCACAAGAACTGGAGTCCTTGAAGATAAAAACACTTCAAAATTTCTTATATCTCCATCAATTTCAAGCAGTGGCTCAACATCCTTAGTTGTTGGAATATTCTTTGATATTCTTCAAATAAGAAATTAGTGAAAAAGGTTGTTAATGTCACTATTACAAAGGTAAATTCTGCATGTCATCTGAAGTTACTTATACAACAATTACACATCTTGGTCTGATTAAAAATCTATTTTTTTTTTTGAGATGGAGTCTCGCTCTGTCACCCAGACTGGAGTACAATGGCACGATCTCGGCTCACTGCAACCTCTGCCTCTGGGTTCAAGCGATTCTCCTGCTTTAGCCTCCCAAATAGCTGGGATTACAGGTGTGCACTACCATGCCCGGCTACTTTTTATATTATTAGTAGAGATGGGGTTTCACCATGTTGGCCAGGCCGGTCTCTAACTCCTGACCTCAGGTGATCCCCCCACCTCCACCTCCCAACATGCTGGGATTACAGATGTGAGCCACTGCTCCCAGCCAAAAATCTATTTTAATTTTAATTTTTTTTTAAATTATGCAGTGGTGTAATCTTGGCTCATTGCAATGTGTGCCTCCCCAGCTCAGGTGATCCTCCCACCTCAGCCTCCATGCTCACACAACCATGCCTGGCTAATTTTCATATTTTTCTATAGAGACAAGATTTCACCATGTTGCCCAGGAGGCTCTTGAACTCCTGGGCTCAAACAATTCATTCACCTCACACTCCCTGTTGTGATTACAGGCACGAGCCACCTCATCCAGTCAAAAAATTATTTTAATAAAAGAGAAACTAAAACTAAAAAAAGTAGTATGGTTACAAAAAAAAAAGGTAACAATGAGTACAGTCAGAATTATACAGCCTTTGGCCATGGCAGGACTTAGGCTGGGGAAACGGAGAAGAGCAGCATATGCACAGGTGTGTCACATGCTCCAAGGTGGCTAAGGGTCACCACTCAATGAAGATTTATTGAATTATCACTTTCCAGATGAGGACAGTGGCCTCAGACAGGTCAGACTGCCCAAAGTCGCACAGCTAGAAAAGAGAGTCTGACTGGTTCTGAAACCCATCCTTTTTAAATAGAATACCACGGTTTTTCCTTTACAAAGAAAACAAGAAATGAAGAGCTTTTAAATAAATTACACAAATTAGAAAAAAGTTAGCATAAGTTTTCCTTTTTTAAAAGGGTTTTGTTTTCTATTGTAAAAGTAATATATGCTTACTATATACAGAAAACAGGAAAAAACACATACTTTTACCAATCAGACACAATACCCGCTAAGGTAGTATTGTCACTTAGTCTTTTATTATGCAGAAGTTTTTGCATAACTGAGTTCAAGCAATATGTAAGCAATTCTGTACCATGCACAGACTCTTGAATGTAAAAATTAGCAATATTCATCTTAAAAGCACTGATTAAACATTACTACATGAAACTGTAGTTTGTGTAGGTCGAAAATGGTCAAATGTTGACAATTCTTGATCGGAGGCAATAAGCAACAACACGTCACAGAGGGATAAAGGGAAGAAAAATGAGAAAGAGAAGTTAAAAGACAAGACATAGACGAGAAAACTGGAAACAACCCAAGTGCCCACTAACAGGTGGAAAGGTAAAATGGTGGCATATCCAGACAAAGGAATACTACTCAGCAATAAAAAGGAATGAGCTACTGATACAAAAACACGGATGAATCTCTTACTAAATTAACCCAGCCAATGAAGAGTGTACAGCAGGACGTTTTCATTTCTACAAAACTAGAAAATATAAACCATTCCAAAATAACAATGCACACCAGGGTTAGCTGTGAAGTTAGCACTGAGGGGCAGGAGGGAGACAAGGCAGGTATCAAAGGAACAGGTAGAAAACTTGGAACTGATGGAAATATTCACTCTCTCGATTGTGGTGATGACTTTGTAGGCATATATGTTTATCAAACTTGTGACACTGTACAATTTAAATATGGCAGTTTATTATATGTCAACTACACCTCAAAAATTGTTTAAAAATCACTGGATACATCTTCAAAACACTCACTTTCCAATTAAACAAGTATATTAACTGTTAGATTATACTGAGTGAGCATAGTTGCAGAGGAGCAGTAAGATTTTCATGGCCTTCAAAAAGTGAAATGGGAATCTTACTCTAATGTTAGTCACAGTTATATTATTTCTTTGGGACTAGCACTTTACTCAGACCCAATACTTGGCTACTAGCCAAATATTAAAAGTCATCTCAGGGAAAAATCCAGAGAACACAATTAGCAAACAAGAAGAGAACAGGGTGCTGGTGAGAAAATAAGGGTAGCAATTTTATCTTAATTAATTTCAGAAAGTCTCTTTTACAGACACATACACATGCACAAGACAGAAAAGCCCTCTGAAGATGGGGTTACTCAATGAATTAAAATCACATTCAAACTGATTATTAAATATATGTAAAATGAGTTGTTGCAAGTGGTGATAAAATCAGAGCTTAAACAGTTAAATAGGTAGTTCATTTATTTCAGGAGTCGAACACAAAATACTAAAAAGAGAAGCTAGAAAGATTTAGATAAAAACACACAGCTGACGAGTCACATGAAACAAATTAACTGCATTTTAATGCCAGCTCTGCTTCTGCCTGAATGCAACAGTGTTCTCAGTATGATGAACAATGCTGCTGTTCACAGGCCAACAGGCTACTGCTGGCTTCCAGATTGAAGTCTCTATTCTAACCTTCTGAGCTCAATACACTAAACTCTTCTGCTGAAAGAGATATTTACGTAAATGATCATCTTTTGGCAGTAGGCCATCAAAATCATATGTGCCTTTATTTTTCAGATATTTTTCCAAAGGTCAGCATTTAAAGAATTTAAGTAACTTCACTTTTCAATTAAGAGTGAATTTAAATTTCCAGCATTATGAATCATGTGAATTAAAGTTGCCAGCAGTTAAATGGCCCAAAGAAAGCATTATAAAACATCAGGCATCAAGGAGCTCCTAGTAAGTCTAAATGCAGTTTCTTTCTATGCTACCAATCTAGCAATACTTGTTAAAGCCAACACCAATGTAAGTTAAAGGCATTCTGATTATAAATGACAGTGGTTTATACAAACTACATATTAATTCCTTGGCAGAAATTACATAAACTATTCATATCACTTCCATTCAAAATCAGGTTTTAAATTACATAAAAGACTTCTATTTTAAATCAAAATATAAACAGATTCTTAGAGCAGAATTTATGAAGAAGGTATTATTTATCACATTTTATCTAAAAGTAGCTGCCTAATAATGTCATTATTTAGTAGGACGTTAAAAATTAAGACATATTTTCTTTAAAAATTTAAACAGAGAAAACTCTTAAATGCTTTAGAATTTTATTACCTAACTTCTAACAGACTCTCAAATACTTTATATCAGTGAATGCCCATTTATTAAATACCGTCCATGCACAGAACACTTTGGAGATTGAGAGAGACAGAAAACAGCCGCTCGGCATTGCAGCCATAAAGTCAGAAACAAAGATAAAATGGAGTCCATTTATACACCCACGGCAGTCTGTGAAAACACAAAAACCCTAGATACCTCAGGGGCTAGCCACACCCTCCATCTTTACCCGTTAATTCCTACCCATCCTTTGTGCTCGGTGCAATTTCCCCCTCCTAAGGGAGCCTCTCGCAGACCAGCTCATTTTCCTCCATTGCAAGCCCCCACAGCACATATACCTTTTTGCATAACACGTATCATAAGTGAAATTCTACACTAGTGGAATTACTTTCTTAATATTATCTCCCTCTCTAGACTGGAAATTCCATTAAAACTGGGAACAAGTTTAGTTTTTTTCCACCACTGTAGCGCCAATGGTTTGCACAGAACACTGTCACAACACTATTGTCCAGTAAGTATTTGTAGAGTGAATAAACTACACACACGTAAAAAGGTGTTCTTCCTCAAGAACTCCATTCCTTTAAAACAGAATAATTTTCACCTTAATTATCCTTTCTGGTATTGACAAAACCTTGTGCTTGGGAAAGCATACATTGATCCATTTGGAGTCAATTTTTGTACATGGTGTGCGGTGGGGGGCCAACTGCATTCTTTTGGATGTGGAAATCTAGTTGTCCCATCCCCATTTGTTGAAGAGTCTGTTCTTTCCCCATTAAATGGACATGGCACCCTTGTCAAAACCCAACTGGCCATAAATGAAGGGTTTTTCTAGACTCTCAATTCTATTCCATTGCTCTATATGTCCATCTATGCCTGTGTCACATTGTTTTGATGACTGTAGCTTTGCAGTCTATTTGAAATTGAGAGGTGTCAGTCCTTCAACTTTGTTCTTCTTTTTAAGGCTGTTTAGTTATTTGAGGTATCCTGAAACTTCATATGACCTTAAGGATTAGTTTTCTATTTCTGCAAAAAAGGCTACTGGAATTTGGCAGGTATTTATTGAATCTGTAGATCACTCCAGGTAGTACTGACATCCTAATATTTAGTCTTCCCACCCATGACCACAGGATGTCTTCCCACTTATTTAGTTCTTCTTTAATTTCTTTTGGTAAGGTTTTTTAGTTGTCAGTGTATGAGCCTTTAACTCTCTTGGTTAAAGTTATTTCAAGGTGTTTTATTCTTTTAGATGCTACTATAAAATGAACCGCCTTCTTAATTCCTTCTCGTATTGTTCACTGAAGCTGTACAGAAACACAACTTTTTGTGTGTTGATCTGTACACTGCAAACTTTGCTGATTTATTAGCTCTAATAGCTTTCTTGTGGGCTCTTTGGAATTTTTCTGTGTATAGAAGAATCATGTCATCTATGATTAGTGATGGTTTACTTCTTCCTTCCCAATTTTGATTCTTTTATTTATTTTTTGCTTGTCCAGTTGCAATGGCTAGAGCTTCTAATGCAGTGATGAAAGTGGGTATCTTAGTTAGCTCAGGCTGCTGTAACAGAATACCATAGGCTAGATGGCTTAAACAGCAGACATTTATTTCTTGAAATTCTGGAGGCTGGAAGTCAGAGATCAAAGTGCCAGATGGTCAGGTTCTGGTAAGGGCCTTCTTTTTGGTTTGCAGATAATCTTACTCCTGTGTCCTGACATCAAGGGCACTA